GCAGTTCCTCTCAGAACCCAGACAGCTGAGCCCTCGGAGCACAGTGAGAAGGGAGCACTTCCACCAGTGGGAGAAACATTCAGAGAGAGAATCTCGTGCATGTGCCTGTGTGTGGAGATCAGAGCACAATTCCAGGTGTCCTCTGACACTCTCCACCGTGGTATTTTCCACCTTCATATTTTCGTCTGCTTGAGGTTTTTGGTTTTTTGGCTTTTGTTTTGTTTTGTTTTGTTTGTTTGCTCCAGTTTTTGAGACAGGACCTTACTCTATAGTCTTAGCTATCCTGGAACTCAATATGTAGCCCTGGATGACCTAGAACTCCCCCTGCCTCTGCCCCCTCAGTTCTGGGATTAAAGATGTGTGCTTCCATGCCTGGCCACATTAATTTTTTTTTTCACTTTGTGTGTATGCATGTTTTGCCTGCATGTGTGTCGGTATACTATATGTGTGCCTGGTGCCTGAGGAAGACAGAAAAAGGCGTCAGAACCCCTGGAACTGGAGTTTCAGATGGTTGTGAGCCACCATGTGGGTGCTGGGAATCGAACCCAGGTGCTCTGGAAGAGCAGCCAGTGCTCTTACCCAAGCAGCCAATGCACTTAACTGCTGAGCCACCTCTCCAACCCATAACTGGATTTATTTGAGGCACAGTCTCTCCCTGACCTGGAACTCACCAAGTAAGGTAGGTTGCTGGCCAGTAAGCTCCAGAGATCAGCCTGTCTCCATCTCCTCAACATTCGGATTGCAAGCACATTACCACCACATCTGGCTGTTTCATGTAGGTTCTGGGTCTTGAACTCGGGTCTTTGTGCTCACATAGTAAGCACTTCACTGACTGAGCCATCTGTGCACCCTGACTTCAGTTACTTGAACTAAAATTACTTTTCTTTTTTTAATAATTTATTTTTATTTTATGTGCATTGGTGTTTTGCCTCCCTGTATGTCTGTGTGAGGATATCATGTCCTCTGAAACTGGAGTTACAGACAGTTATGAGCTGCTATGTGGGTGCTAGGAATTGAACCCAGGTCCTCTGGAATAGCAGTCAGTGCTCTTCACCACTGAGCCATCTCTTCAGCCCCTAAAATTACTTTTCTTATTAAGTTAAAAACTGCAGTACCTGCCTCCTGTGAGCAGGCTGAGTGATCCCATGTCCTCTGTGCCTCCTGCCTTTCCACCTGAGTCCACATCATCTCTCTCCAGCCTCGGTCACATGTGCCAGCTGGTATCCCTGGGACACTAGGTGCTGGTGTGCATGACCATGCATGACCAGTGGCACTGCCTGCCTCTAAGACAAGTCAGGTGAGAAGGATATGAGGGTAGAGCCCATTAGATAAGCCCAGAGGAAGAGGCACACTAGGGAAAAAAAATGGATATAAAATGTAAGGCTGGAAAGGTACAATTCATACCCTTTAAATTAACATGCAAGAAACTGACATTTTCCATGTCCAGTTCTGTGAGTGTGACACCAGCCATCCTAAGCAAGGATCTGAAAAGTCCAAGCTTATTGGTAGCATGCTTGAGGAAATGGCTTGATGGGCAGAGAACATTTCGGAGGGAAAGCAGACCCACATTAGAAACCCCAGGACCTGGCTACAGGAGAAAAGCAGGTTACTAATGAAGTGGACCCCATTATGGGTTCAGAAGTCCTGACCCAAGAAAAGGGGCACCAATCATCTGTCCTATGATTGCACAGCCATGCGAATGTTCTACAGGCCCAACCCAATGTACTCAGAGCTGACAGTACCAGCTCCTCACCAGTTAAGGAGGTGGCAAATGCCCTGGATACTGAAATCGAAGATGCACTGAAGGTGCCGCCTGCTTGTGTTTCCCATGCTTCTCCAAAGAGTCCTCGGGCTGCCCCCCAGCATCTGCATGTTATTGTTAGGCTACGGAAACCTCGTCTGGGGACTCAGATGTGGCAGTATTCACTTGACCTGGATGTGGATTTGTCTTCTTGGTAGTGGTGAGAAACGGAGTTGGGAAAGGCCAGCACTGTGGGGCCCAACCCTTTGATTCAAAGCCTGACTGTCCTGTGGCTAGCACATGGTCTCAGGCGTCCTCCTGGAGCTGCGACCCCGTATACTGTCTGCTGCCCCCAGGATTTGGTCGCAGCAGCTCTGTACCTCCTCTCCCATGTGTGGCCCACCAGGGGCCTGTGTATCCCATCAGTGAGCCGGAGAGACTCAGCAAGTGCGCTCTCTTGCTAATTGCAATCCTGTACCCTGGCTGCAGTGAGTGAACCATCAACCCCTGCCATGTTTTATTTCTTGGTCATGGATAAATAGCTAGGATTCCTTGGAGCTAGACCTTGAGAGATTCTGTTCCACTTCAGCAGTACGGTCTGCCGTGACTGACTTCTAGGTAAACAGATTTGAAGGGTCTGAGCTAACCCTTGGTGAATCAGTAGCCTCTCTGATTAGGACAAACACACAGTCCCAGAGACAGCATTCTCTAAAGCAAAGCTGATGTCCAGTTTTGGCCTCAGCTGGCACCATACTGTAGCTAACCTCCACCAGCAGTGTGGATTGAAGAGCTCAGAGTAAGAAGTATTCACTTGCTGTCTGCTCCTTCACTTCCCTGTCCTTAAGTACATACACATAGAATGTCATCGGGCCTCCCACACCCCCTGTCAAGCCTTTCCCATCGGCTGTCATGTCTTCTCATCATGATGGAATAATCCCCTTGAACTTTGAGCCACAAAACTAACCTTCCTTCTTTAAATTACTTCTTGTCAAAGTAATGAGAAGAGTGACTTAGACCCTCTTCCCAGCAGAAAGCCAGTGCCTCGGTAGGCTCAACTGTTCTGAATAATAATCAGATATTTCTGGTTTTGTTTTTTGAGACAGGGTTTCTCTGTGTAACAGCCCTGGCTGTCCTGGAACTTACTTGTAGACCAGGCTGGCCTGAAACTCACAGAGATCTGCCTGCCTCTGCCTCCCAAGTGCTGGGATGAAAGGCATGCACCACCATCTGCTGGCAGTAATCAGATTTTTTTTTAAACACTGTGCCTCCTCTGATTTCAGGCTGAGTATATAAACAAAAAGACAAATTTTAATCTGCTGACTTTAGTATTATAATCTGAAGTCAGGAACTCTCTTTCTCATTGTTCACCAGTGCTCCAAGCGAGTCTGGCAAACGTACATGCTTGGTGAGCAAAGACTAACCTAACTAAAGAAATCAGCAACTAACTCCATATTCTGGGATGCCGAAGGCTTATTTCCCTCTTCCGAAATAAAAACAGGCTGCCTGCTGCTTATAATATTGTAAGAGAGTGAACTTGATCCCGGTCTTTTGTTTGTTTGTTGTTTGAGACAAGGTCACACATAGCAGAAGCAGGCTCAAGTTCACTGTGTAGCCAAGGCTGGCCTTGAGAGTGTTGGGATTACATGTGTGTGCCACGGAACCTAGATGATGATGATGAGGAGGAGGAGGAGGAGGAGGGGGAGGAGGATTTGTTGTTGTTGCTTTAAAATATTGTATTGTAAGTGTTTATGTGTACATTGTGTTAGCATTTTAGAGTGAGTTAATAAATACCCAGCAAATCCTTAATAGTTAATTAAGATCATTGACACACTTTAATTTCTGAAAAGGAAAAGTTAAAAAGAAAAAAACAGGTAGCTTACACACTTAGAATTGGTTTTCTAGTGTAAGGAGAAAAGAAGGTTGTGTCCCAGTTTGGTTGGTCCAGGACTTAGGTTCTTCGGGATCCTAGACTTGCCATCTTCCCGTTCATCCATTTTCATCGTGTCCCAGGGGCTCAATACCTGCATGTGTCGCACATAGACATGGCCATTTAGTCCAAAGGGCACTGTGGGTCATAATAGTGAGGGAAACATCCCGATCTCACCTAGTCTTAGATCACCTTGGCTAGGAGCATGCCAGCTGCAGAGGAATTGGGAGAAGGAGAAGGAGATGGCCACAACAACTGTATCGAAATACAAGAGAGTACAGGTTCACGTGTCTGTGTCTCAAATGCCTCCCACTGTCTGTGACACTTTTTCTCTGATATTTTTGGTTGTGAGCCTAGCCTTTAATGGCTGAGCCATCTCTCCAGCCTGACACTTTTCCTCAAATATTGTCTAAAACACCCTTCAAACTGTTTTTATAATGACTCTTTGAAACATCTTCCAGGATCCCTTCCCCCACACACACACCTGCTCTCTCTGGGGAATGTCCCTGGGAATTCTCTTCCTATCCCTTTGCCATCTCACCTGGTGGTCAATCTGAAGCAGTCATAGAGTCTCTTAGTCACTTGCCAAGGAGCCCTGGAGCCCCTAGAGTTGAATGATGGAAAAGGCGATGCCAGAAGTAGGTGTTGCCCTCACCAACACAGTCGTCCAAGTTACTTCAACAGTACTCAAAGACGTACTTGGTTACTCTCTAATACTTCGTTTTTAATATTGTGATAATTCAGAAGCCAACCCATTTTTTCCTGTACGTTTGTGTTCCTAGAGTTTTACCCTGTCCACCTTGAAAAAAACGTTGTTTCACATCATCATCTTCTTGAGTCTTGGGAATGTAAAATTTGCCCAAGAATGGATAGCTTTTGTGATTCAGATCTAAAGTGGGACCCCAAAGGCTGGTGTGTTGAAGTCTTCATCTCCAGCTGGCCATGCTGTTTGAGAAGTGATTAGATTGGGAAGATGTTAGCTTCACCACAGAATGAATCTGTTCGTGAGTTCATGACTGCATGGGTTTTTAGGAGGTGGGGACTAGCTGGAGGAAGCTGCTCGCTGGGGTGTGCTTTTTCCCCTGATTGTGCTCCATTCTACACTAGGTCTCCCAACCACCACGCTTAGCACAGAAACAAATCATGAGCCGGAAGAAAGCCTTCCTCCCTGATGGTGTTTGTCTCGGATACATTGTGATATTGACAGAAATTGACAGATACAGCAACCTTACCCTGAGTTTGTTTTTGAAAAGAGAAGTGAGCTTTACTGTTAACCGGGTCTCCATGCTGAGTGAGTTCTGCCCCCGCTGACTTCCTTCCGTCTGCCCACAGGTCTGCAGACTGGAACGCCAGTTATCTACCCGGCGATACCAAGGAACCCTCTTTGCCAATCAGCCGAAGATGTTCATTGCACCAGCCAGCAGCCCCCCAAGGGCCAAGCTGTGTGAACTGGTACTCCTGTGTGGTGGCCAAGTCAGCCCAGCCCCTCAGCTGGCCAGCCTCATCATTGGTCCCTACTGTGGCAAGAAGGAAGCAAGAATCCAGTACCTGTCAGAGAAATGGGTCTTAGGTAAGAACCCGGATGATGGAACACAAGAAGGAGGCGCAGGGGAGGGTCCTGCTGATCCCATGGCCATCAGGAGCTTAAGGAGAATACCACTTTGTGGTCCTGGTAGTAAGAAGAGAAGCAGATGATGCCCATGTGGTCTGGGCCTGAAATTAGCAGCTCAGCCTCCAGGCATCTTCCCTAACCGTCATAGACACACCTGGCCCTTACCGCCAGATGCAGGACAGTTCACACGGAGAGGAGACTGCACTGGGCCGTGTCCTCTCAGCGCATGTAGGACCAGCTCACTCAGAGCCACCTCAGCCTCGAGTTGTAAGCACGGAGTGACCAGGCTACACTGGCTGGCTTGGGTTAAGCACCTGGAGCAGGTGCTACCTGAGATGCCCAGAGAGGAAAAGATACTAGACTAGACACCTGACTGTAGGCTGTCCACATGTATGATGGTGACAGGCAGGCCTCACCAGTTATTCCACTTGGGAGGATGGCAGAACTCTTAAGAGGAGAAGGGCCATGCAGCCAGGGGTGAGCTTTCCCAGGGGTGTCCTTCCATGCAGCCAGGGGTGGGCGTTCCCAGGGGTGTCCTTCTTCTCCCCTTTTCCTTCCCCTCCCCCTCCCTCTCCTCTCCCATCCTTCTCCTCCTTCCGTCATTTTATGCTGGGCTCACCACCCTGCAATGGACTCATCCCAGACAGGATGAACTCCAGACTCAGCTCTGAGAGTACATTTAAATCTTCATCCCTGAGACGTTGACAGATGTATTGGTTTGGTAGGACCATGTCCTGCAGACCAGGCAACTGAACCGGTCATTTTCTCACCATCGTGGAACCTGGAAGGACTAGGCCGAAGTAGGATCAGGTAGATTCCCTATGGCTTTCCCCTGAGTGTATAGGTGACATCTCTTACCCCCAGAGACTTCATTTTTTTTGAGTCCACACTTCCTCCTTCAAGACACTGGTGAGACTCGTTCATCCCCACCTGAGACCTAATTTTAATTTAGTGTCTTCCCTGGGTCCTGTCTCCAAATACATCTATATTCTAAGGGGCTGGAGGTTGGGGCTTGAACATAGGAGTTTTGAGAGGAATCAGCTTTAAAACAATTACCCCACTTGCAGGTCCTTACCTGGTTCCTTCAGAGCTGTCGTGGGTGTGTGTGTGTGTGTGTGTGTGTGTGTGTGCGCGCGCTTCTCCCTTTCTCTCTTGTGGCCAAAGCCCAACTATCTCTTCCTCTCCTCCCCACCCCATCTTCCTCATTCTTACCCTTCTTCTCACCCCCTCCTCCCTCCCCTCCTCCCCCCATCCTCTCCTCTACGTGCTCCTCTCTTCCCCCTCCTCTCTTCCCCCCTCCTCTCCTCCTGCTCCCCTCCTCCACCTGCTCCTCTCCTCCATCCCCCCATCCTCTCCTCTTTCTGGCTGCCCTCTTGCCTCTTCTCTTTCCCTGTCCCTCCCTTTCTCTCCTGAGGCTGAGGTCCTCGAACTGTCTCCCAGTGTGTGCACTGTCTCTCTCCCTCTTCCTCTCCTTCTCCTCCCTGCTTCCCCTCCTCCTGGGTTTCTTATTCTGCCCTCATCTTTAAACCCCAAAGTTCTGGCTTCTCTCACTCCCGTCTTGACAATCTCCTTGAATAGATAAATAGATAACCTTGTTTTCCAGAGTTACATTCACAGAGAAACACATAGATTTTATTAATATCTTTTAAATGATTGATGATTGTCACTGTACATTTTCAAATAAGGCAATCAAAAGTATTTTTTACTATCCACTACAGAGCAATTTGTCTTTTGCTTAGAAACTATTTAAAAAAAAAAAAAATACCCTTTAGCTCCAGTCCCAAAGCCAAGCCACTGTTTACTCTTTTGAATGCCAAGAATAGAACCTTCAGACATCACATGTTCCAAAGCCAGGTTCTCGTTTGGTTTCTTGGAAAACTGCATCAAATTAACAACCCTGCAGACCAGAGCTGGGCTTTAAAAACATGTCCGTGCATGACTTGGTATCAGTAGTCTGAACCAACAGCTAACGGCTCCCGAGTGCGGGAATTGTTGCTGCTCAGGGCCCCAGACTGAGCCCATACACTCCTGTTATTTCCAGGCTGGGTGACTGACGGTCCTTCCTGTTGCTCCTACGTCCTGTGCAGTCACTGTCTGAGCCAGGCCAAGCTCTTCCGGTTGTTTGTCGGTTGTCTCTGGCTGGGATTTTAGGAGATGACTGCCTACCTGCTTGCATCTACCCAAGGCCCCGCAACATTCTCTGCATGCCAGGGCTGGCTCGGGGACCCTCGTTTCTGCTTCTTTCCTCCCCCTAATTGACGTCCTGTTGCTGACCTGTCATTGATTACACTAGCTCCTCTGCCCTTGGCAGCATCCGGGTATTGTGTGGGCTTCAGGCTTGCCTGAGTAAGATGAGTCCCCATGGCTTGTGGGTACCCCTCAAACACACCAGGTCTTGCAGCCTGAGCCGTGTATCTTTCAAACACTAGCTAGCTCATTTTTCTCTTTCTGAATTGGATTATAACCCAACAGCTGCCGTGGTACACACATAACGGAGGTGTGGCCTCCACCTCTGTGCACCAAGCACAGCTGAGTCCTGTGCTTGCTGGCCCCCCCAGGCCCTGCCCTGGCGTGATCTTTTCCTCTTCACCTCATGCAGTGGCCCAAGGAGACAGCGCAAGAGTGTGTGACAGTGTGTGCTGTGGTTGGCCTTCCCAGGATTTCTGAGTGACAACGTCCCTTCGTGTGTGGATCTGTCACCCCAGCGCCATAACAAAGTGACGTGTGTCCCTTGAAGGCTCTTACTCCCCAAAACTTGTATTATTATCAACATTTCTCTAGAGAACATTTTATTCTCAGGCTGGTGGATTAGGCTCAGTGATTGAATGCCTGTCTACCTTGTACAAGGCCCTAGGGTCATTCTGAGGAGGGAGAGGGAGAGGAGGAGAAAGAGAGGAGATACTGTAGTCTCAAAACATACTAAAAGGGAGTGGAGATAGAGCTTGATGGTAGTGCACGTGCCTGCCATGTGTGAAGGCTCAGTCCCCAGCTCTAAAATAAATGAGTAAATAGAAAAAAAAAAATCTAAGATTAACAGGAACTTTTAAAGCATTAATTTGAAAGGAAAATTATTTTGTGATAAGTTATGAAAGACAATATTCAGTATTTATTAATCAAGTTTATTTCAACTGGAATAGGCAGTAGGAGTTTGGGCCAAGGGGAGGCTTGAGAGTAGTTTGGATAAAATGTTTATTTAAAAGTGTTAAAAGGCCAGGCAGGGTGGCGCACACCTTTAATCCCAGCCCTCGGGAGGCAGAGGTAGACAGATCTAGTTCCAGGACAGCCGGGGCTACACAGAGAAACCGTGTCTTGAAAAAAACAAAGTTTTAAAATTTGTTAGTTGCCATCCAGAACGAAAATTTCAGGATTGAGTGTGCTGTATTTGTTTGGTTGATAGCTTTATATTTATTCTTATAACTGATGAGTTTTGTGTGAAACTGCAGAGAAGTGCCTCAAAGAAAGTGAGTGAGTGTTCTGCGGATTTCTTCCAGCCTTGAGTCTGGTGAACCGTTAGCCTTGAGCATCCTGCCTTCCCAGCCATTGTGTGCTGCTGACAGAGGACCTGAAGGAGTGCAGAATGTCACCCTGTGGAATTCAGCAGGAGGAGGCATTTAGTCCTCGCCTTACTCATGCTCCCCACAGAGGGTGTCAGATGCCAGGCTGCCTTACAAGGAATCTGTGTTCCTCTTCACTCCCTAGAGCCCATTTTCCCTGAAACAGCACTGTACTTGGGCCAACATTCTCCATGAATCATTCAACCAGAAGGAGCAATGGGGATTTTTGAGCAAGAACACCCTTGTGGGCACTTGACTATACATGAAAATCAACATCAGGAGAACAAACATCAAGTTCTTGGTAGCAGGAACCAGGCACTACCTGTCCTAATGTCAGTAATGTGGGTGTGATTTAACACGGCTGTCTAATTGTTGGAGTCTCCTTGGCACTCCCACGAACTATAGTTCCCATTTCATATCTCCAAGGTCTAAGGACCCTGACTGGTGAGAAAGAGGCAAGCAGAGCTCTGCACCAGGAGCTGTCGAGATATGTGACTTGGTGCTGTGGTCATTCTTGGTCACGCCATCCCCTCCCTTCGATGGTATCAAATAATATGGGTTTGGCCTTTCTCATGAGACTGGTCCCAGTCTCCGCCTCCTCTTGATTGTCTGGACTGCATTCAAGAGATAAGACATACATTTATGCTATTGTGAGGAAAACATTTATGCTATTGTGGGGAGATAGTGTAGTATTCTTCACAGAGCTACCAGAAAAAGAAAGTTTAGCCCTGACATAATTTCCGCAAAGCTTACAAAGAGCATTTGACTTGACAGTTGCCCCATGTCAGAGCTTTCAGGAAAAAGGTCCCTGATAGCTTGGGGGCCTTCCCATGCTGGCCTGGATGTTCATTGTGTCCCCCACTGGCTGACCAGCTAAGCACATTAACTGTGGCTTTCTGTGAAACAAGGCTAATCTAGACGCCATGTTCCCTGGGGATTCATAATTAAATGGACACATGAGGGTTGGTCAAGCTCACCTTGTCCCATATCCCAGTTGCATAGATAAGAACTAGTTACGGAAGGCTGAGGGTCCAGGAAAGAAACCAGAAGAATGAGAGGCCTGTCTGCCCCTTGGTTCCACTTCCCTCCAACCTTCTCTTCCCATGTGCTTAATTTATCCTTGCCCAGGAATCTAGGCCCAGCAGTCCACCAATCACACTGAGGGAAAGTAACTACCAAAATATACATGATTAAAAGCTAAGCAGTAGAATTTTGTAATTTTACATCAAAAGCCGATGTGTGTGCCAACATATAGTTAATAGGAGTATGTAAGTTGACTGCTGACGTGGTATCTTAGCTTTGGTTTGGGAAATATATGGAAAGGATGGACTCAGGAAAAGTCCCTAAGCTCTCCCAATCGTCCAGGTGATTGTCCTTGAATTTTCCTGGCCAGCCAGGCTGCCC